TTTATCTTATACTTACACGATGTTGTTTCCCAATGCAATTCATACTGTATAATCCACGAAGCACATAGTGTGACCATCCTCGCTTGAGTCATCTAAATGAAGAAGTGAACAACTTACTTTACAAACTACTTTAGAAACTGCATCAAGGCTTTTCCTTCCTGGCTCTAAGCTCTTTTATCAACGTTTGCGAAGCGCAAGTGCAGGAAAAGATGGCTAGAATTACGTATTTCTTTGAAATAGTAACTTCTTAAGGTTAGTCACAAATTCTGTTCCAAACACTTTCCAACTGCCTGAGTGGCTCATATTGGTCATCTCATACCAAATGATTTTTGTACAGTCGATATTAAGATGCTACCCAAGGTGTGCTTAGGGGAACTTTCTTTCAAGCACTGTTTCCCAAACTGACTTATTATTAACCTCGACGTTAATCAATAGTTTTCTGCTTCCCTCACAAGCATGCGAAAATCGGGGAAGAATTTCAAAAATCAAAAACCGATTCAGGAAACAATAATTAAGTGATCAATCAAAACCATACGAAAATATGTGCTTATCAAGAAAACACCGGATTTTCGCTTGCAGTTCTTTAAATCCGATATTATAAAAAATATGTATGTGTACTTACAGTAAGATGGCAAGCCGTAGACGTCTGCATGAAAAAATGACGGGTTAATTATACGTTTCCTGGCGAAAAGATTTCTAATGGTCTCGAACCCACTCTATTTATTTTTCACGTGCAAACGTCGACGATTTTGAAAAGCTGTTATAAGGGACGTTACTATGTAATAATTTAAATATGAATGCGATAATACTGCTAGTTAAAACATAAGTAAATCAATTCTTCAAACTGGCTGGTCAGGTTGTGTCTCCATTATACAGACAGGACATCCTCTTAACGATGTCCGTTGTTACCATTCAGAACACAAGGATCACATCTCGTACTAAAGCCTCCTGATAACTTCCAATGAGTAGCTAACTTTCCGAAGGGGAAAAACGAGAATCTCTATTCTTACCCCATAGATGACAATACGCATTTTCCAAATGTTACTGAGTAGGAACGAGATAATTCTTTTCCTTAAAGAGACAAAACAGTTGTTTCACACAACGCTTTCTTCTGTTTAAGTAGGGAAAGATTTTTCAACTATTTATAACTCTGTGACTGATCTTCTCAGCATGCAAGTGGTTTCAGCATTGATTCATAGATCTTCTTCATGCGTAGCACAGCGCTTTGGAGTAAGCTGCACATGAGGTTTCTAGGAATAAGGGTTACCAATTGCACGCTGGTAGAAGCAGGTCAATGAACAGAATTGGTTTCTTGCATCAGCTTTGCCGCACTACCTCCCGTATACACGTAATTAATCCATAGGTACAGGCGTACGGATTTCACCATGCGCAGACTCGATGAAAATTTCAATTTGGAATAGCGACAGCAAGAAACTACTAGAGAAAAACATTCTAAGCGGCACTTAATTCTAGCCCTCAGACGCCCAGCGTCTGTTTGGAGAATGACATTTACGATAATCATGAGTGTAACTCATCCTCAGCAGAGGCCGGCGAGTTATCTGTGAATAAACATTCGTCGGAAAAGTTGAAAGTGGGGATTCATACGAAATTTGCGGCAAACTCCATGCTTTTTAAACAATTGCAAGTCACTCGGTAGATCTAATGTGCAACAGGAACGAACTGAGCTTTTAGCTAGGATAAATCAACCACGTTAGGTGAAATTTGGCAGAAAATCAAATAGCATGTGTTCGAGTTCTAAACTTTCCGGACTAGGAGTTAGGTCTGTTCAAAATGGTTTGCCAATAGCCCGAAGTAGGGAATAGGGTATGTGAAATGAATTCTTTCTAACTACGGAAATGGTAGCATAATCTTAAGCTGCCATCGGAATAACACATATTTCCCTAAGTCATCAAGTAACTCAAATCACCTGCACCACCCCACCTTAAGTTGGCCATCGAGTTGCTCCAGAGGGCACCAGTAGAGTTTCCACTTGTCTTTGTTGAGTACAAAGGTGGCTAAGTAGACCTTGTTCGCCATAGAGAATCGTTGAGTACCACACCGTTTTTCCGATGATTTTCGTGAAAAAACCCTATCTGGTTATGCTGGCTGTTCATTTGACATTTCGAAGAATTCAGTAGCTAATGTTGTCCACATCTCGTTCACACGCATCACGTGCATGGCCCACCTAGTTTTAAACATTTTTGCGTGCACAATGACGTGTCTCATTTTTGACCGTTGAAAAGAGTCGAATCTTAGAATTGACTCTCGCAGTAGGGTATGCTCACAGCAGCGTCTTTTTGACTATGCGTTCGATAACGCAGAGTGGTCCCTCATCTTGCTTACGTAGTGACCATGTTTCAGGCGCGTATTCTAAGGTAGTAAGAACGGTAAAGACGAAAAGGTGGGTGAAGAGTCGAATGCTTGTAGTCTACCTCACTAAATGTTCGGTGCTCTTGGAAGCTCGCCATGCCACCCATTACCTCCATTTCTCAAGAACGAACTCGACTTCCCACCCAGCCACCATGATTTAGTGTGTCTTGTCTATGAAATACATTGTTTGACTGAAAAATCGATCAAGCTTTTAACAAATGAAATTACATGAGCCATAACACAGGGTACTTTCTGCCGTCTCGTTGAGGGCATGGAAACTTTCCACCTATCTCAGCTCAGCTTGGGAACACCTTTGTATTCGTGTTTTATAACCTCGACTGGTTAGCAAAAGCTGGACAATCAAAATTCCAAAAAGAAAAACCCCATACGTTAAGTCTGGTTGGGATTTGCTTCGAAGTCTATTGTCGCAAAGGTTTGAAAGCCACTGCGCTGCAAGATTCTCATAAAATCAGTATTTGCCAGCGTTGTCGGTGTACAGCTAGAGTACAGTAATCTTGAAAAGGAGGTCTTTTTTGAAATCGCTATAATTGACATATTCCTCACTTATTACTGGAAAAACTATCCATCGTTTAGTTTAGCTTTATCCTTCGCCTTTGGGACAGACATCAACTACCAGCCATAAGGAGAGGTGCCTTCTGCGCTACTGCGTCTCTGGAGTATGGCTCAGTCTCCGAAAATCGTTCTTCGCGTCTGGAAATGACCACTGTGCTTAGTAAGCCTTATCACAAGTGACCACTTTGATCAATCAAGCAAGAATATAATAAAGAAAGATTTCGTTTGCCGCACGTCGCGAAAATTTATGGTCGTTATCCAGGGGCTTACTGATACTTGTAACGCAGGAAAATGGAGCTCAAAGACGGGTTGTACTTGTTATGAATCCCTTTCAGAAATAGAACTGTTTGAATAAATGCATAAATATATTGACAGCTTTTATCGTCTTTCTCTTTAGTGTATGTTCTTTATTTCAACATGAGTTCGTCCAAGAGGGAATGACCATATCGTATGTTATCAGAGGCTCCATAATTTTTATAACCATCCCAAGTGTTTTCCTCTGAATTCGAGTCATCTTCACTTCTTGACGTCTCATATGGCGTCGTTTAAAAGCAGTGTTTTTTTTCAACTATACTAGTTTCTGGTTATTATACCACTATTGCTATCACGGGCGTAAGTGGATCAGTGATCGGAGGCGCCCTGTCGCACACGCGTAGAATCGATTCCCGGGCCCGTGGCTCACCAATCCTTCCATCCCTCCGAGATCGGTACTACACTCACCAGGGAGGATAGCAGCACTGGCTTGATACATCGGTAGGCCACCGCGAGCCATTTTAAAGGCCAGACATGCATTCTATCACCTCCAAACGATGCTTGATGAAGTCGAATGCATGGCACATCCCTAAGGGATTGATCAACGCCGAGAGCTTTCTTTTTAATTTTTATTGCTATAACGCTAGCGATATTTGTGGCTGTGTTTTAAATCACAGAAAATTGTTTACTTTAGATTATTGGATGAAATCCTCAGGGTAGATGTTCACGGCTTGCTGAGGTCTTACTAATAATTAGGTTACGAAAAGTATGAAATAATGATTTCAATTGGATTCATGAGTTAATAATCATCATTACGTCAGTACAAACAATCATTTTTAACGAGAAAGCATCTTCAAACGTATTCCATTCAATCTTCTAAGTATTTTTGAGACCTGTTCAATTCTGTAGAGCCAGGAACATAAATACTGTACTTGATGAAGGCAGTAAAGGCTCATTCTGTTTGAATGAACAGTACATTCCCGTGACAACCACCTCTACCCATGGTCTTGTTCTGACAAATAGTTGCCAACGACTCACCTGGAGTCTCGTTCTCGCTCTTTTGCAAAGTTGTACCAAAACACGGAGTAGTAGTTACAATGCCAGTAAGTAGGTTCAAAGCTGGGTATATGATTCGATGGAGTTTCATAAAGCGCAGTGCGCAATAGCAGTTGCAAGTGAGTTGTTCATCCAAGTCGGTAGGTTGTAGAACCTTAGTTAACGAATTTTGCAAAGCTCTCTTTACGAATCCCTTCGTTAAGAATAGAACTTACAAATTGTTTCTGTTAAATAAACTTTGTGCCTGCCGTATTGGACAAATCTTCATGCAAAATTATCTACGTGGAAAACTTTAAGTTGCAGGATTTTTAGTGCATTGCCATTAAGGCAAAGGTTCCTTATTCACCGAACTCCTGCCTGAGTGGTCTTTAACGAGTTGTACTTTTTTCATTGTTCACATACTTCTTGCTCACCTACCGAGTATCTTCATATATTAAGCCCTCTTATACTACTGAACCTTATTGGAAGGTAGTTGTCATTCGACTACACGACTACACCGTTTTGTAACTTGGACTGATGTGTATTCTTGTAGCGATCGGTCGACTCCAGAAATAACTTCGCAAACGTCCCCTCCCGTCCCCTTTCTTCTGCACGCCATCACCCTATTCATACGACGCTTTTCTTGCACTCGTCGCCAGTATAAAAACAGTTATCGCCTGCCAAAACTCTATCATTGCTTCACTATCACTCTTCACTTAAACGACGAACTACAGCAACTCTACATCACCTTCAACGAGCGACAACCGACGATGAAGATCCGTGGACGAGGTTTGTATCAAACTCTTATAGTAAGAAAAAAATTCATTTTATCCTTAAAATGGAAATCGGTGTGGCTACCACAAATTTTCAGAGTATTCCTAATAGTATATCCTCACATCCAAGCTGATCCAAGAAAAAATTCTAAAAACGATTTCTGCTTGCTGTATGAGAAAAGAAAATATTGATTTTTGGAACCTCGTACTTGGACTATCCATCTGTGCTCTTGCATTTTAAATCTTAAGCGGGTTCAAATAATTAAAATTATTCACTGAATGGTTCTCATCAATAGTGCCAAAATTTCCAGCCCGCATCTCTAGTCTTACTCCTCTTGGAAAGCGTGTAGCCTTCGCCCAAATACAGGAAATTGGTCACTGTCAAGTGAGAACCAACTACGGGCTGATTGAGGGAAAGCGTTATGTCACACGCAAAGGTTTCGAGACCGATTGTTTCCTGGGTGTTCCCTTTGCGAAGCCACCTGTTGGAGAGCTACGTTTCAAGGTATGTTGTCAAATATTACAGTCATTTGGAAAAAACATTTTCGAAGAAAGTTACGAAAGTTATAAAGTTTTCAAAAAACATTTACTAGACAACGTGAAGGTAAATAGAGGAGTCTTTGGTTAAATTAATAAGCGAATACCCTCTACGATCTGAAGGTTAAACGTGAAAATTATAAATAACATTCAAGTCTTAGAAATTTATTCGCTGTTCACCTATATATTCTGGGATAACGTTAACCACCGAATGAGTCCGCAATGAGCATTCTAGATTCTAAGCCTAACGTTTTATCACGACTTCCTGCTCTCTTTTGGCCCAAGTTGGTGTCTCAACTAGTTTAGTATTATCTACCATCGTGAATTCGTGTGTAATGCTGAGAAGGATCCCAATGGTGTGGTGGTGAAGTGCTCTACTCCCCGGAAAGGACAATAGCGCGCGTTTGTTACCCACCGCATACACCTGCGGTCCGGAGTTTTGCAAATATCTCAGCATTGTACACGAGTTATATTTCGCAACATACCCTGCCATTAAAAAGAAAAAGGCAGTAAACAAAAGGGTTAACATCGTGAATTCGTTTCGCATTCTGACTTCTTGCATTGATGTCTTCCATCTAAAGTTCCATCAGTTTCACAACGTTGCTGAGATATTTGCAAAACTCTGGACCGCAGGTGTCTATGGTGGGGAACGAACGCGCTATCGTCCTTTCCGGGGAATAACGCGTTCACCACCACACCATGCGGGTCCTTTGTTTTGCCTGTCTCTCAGCTATTTCTATCGATCTTTGCCACAGCAATCACCCGTCAGCGGGATTGATCTAGGGCGCCCAAATCGGCATAGAACCCAGTTAAGCTGCGGCTGTAGTTGAAATCACAATGTTATACCTTTTTTATTTTCTGCCTACTATAATTTTTGGGCTCCCTAGATCAATCCCGCTGACAGGTGATTGCTGTGGCAAAGATCGATAGAAATAGCTGAGAGGCAGGCAAAACAAAGGACCCGCATGGTGTGGTGGTGAAGTGCGTTACACCCCGGAAAGGACAACAGCGCGTTCGTTTCCCACATAGATACCTGCGGTCCAGAGTTTTGCAAATATCTCAGCAACGTTGTGGCTGTATTTCGCTTAGTACCCTGCCGCGAAATTATAGTAAGCAGAAAATAAAAAGGTATAACATTGTGATTCCACCAGTTTCGTTGAAACCATCTACGTCAAGAATTTTTTAAATGGCATACCGTAGACAAAGTGCGCGGCAGTTGCTGATCCTGTGTGGGCCTCCTTTCCTGTGCAGTCACATGGTATTGGCAATTTACCATTTTCTAGTCTTGAATTCCTCTCGGTATCATGTGAAAAATCAGACGAAAAGGCAAAATATGATTTCTCGCTGAGCTTTCCATATTTTTCGGGTCAGTTCCTGTTAAAGAGTAACTTCTACATCATGCTTCTTCAGAGAGATATAACGTCAGATTTAGTAGGAAGAATCACTTGAAAAGCATGTTTTAATCACTTCGATGTTCTGCAAAAGCAAACATACATAGTTGGGGTTACTCAATCAGGATAGTGTTTTCGTGTAAAACTGAGACTTTTCGGAAACGTGCATCGCTGAATCATTGACATAGCGAGTTCTTCACTGGACATTTCTATCATAAGCCAGTGCTGCTGATATTCTCTTTGTGGTCTTTTATTATCAATTCTCAACTCATTTCTGCAAGTTCGGGGTCAAGTTAGTTGGTCGCTGTGGTTTACTTGAACACAGTGGTTAACGATAAACTTGTTCCTTGAGGTACTGTTCTCTTAGTGACTTTCAAACTCTCGGTTTCTTGGGCAGTGACATTAAGGCGCTGGATAAGCGAGTCGCATTTTCGATTGATGTTGTCGAAAACGGAATCTTTCCAAATAGGTAGTAACGAGCTAAACAAATACCAAACTGTGATGGTTTTGGTGTTTCGCTTCTTTCGCTTGCAGCTTCCTCTCCTTTCTGAGAAAACAAGGTTTTTCAGTAAGCCAACAGAAACGATATTTCCCTAATGAAACAGTGTATTGAAAATTAATCTAGTCTGATTTACCATGCAACTACTGCGGCCTATAGGAGAGCTTTAAATTTGTGAGATACTATCAGTGTTCTTGGTTATCATAGTTAAATCAGGGAGCCTGCTTAGCAAATTCGTTGCATTTCATGTCGGCGTTTCTAATTTGAAGAATCTTAGGCTTTGTTCTGAAGAAAATTCGTACGTCAAACTTTCCAGTGGTAGCATCGTATACATACATGCATACATATATATATATATATATGTATATATATATATATATAGCATTTCAAATAAACTTCGAATTCCGCATAGAATACACTAACTTCATTTCCATAGCCTGGTGTTAGGACGTAGATAGCTAACAGAGTAGACGTTGACACTCGTTTTCCTAACAATTTTTTTGTCAAAGCAAAAGTCAGACACAGATGGTCGATGAGCAATAAAAGCAATGTTCGTAGTCAATCTAGTGCAAACATAGATGTCAACTCAGCTAATTGCTTCAGTGTGGCCCGCTCAGTGAAGTAATTCTTCTTAGGTATCATAAATGAGTGCTGCAGGAATGTGTCCTGTAATTTCAGTCAGTTCTTTTACGTTGAGAACCCTTCTTAAAGTGAACCATGATGTGCACAACAAAATCCTTCGAAACTGGGGTGTTGCAAGTACAGACTGTTAGCATCAGACTTTGAGCATAGTCTAAAAAAGGCTGCGATCTTTTGCCAATCTCTTCTCACTCGGTTGTCTCTGTTGTACTGCACCATGCGCTCCTAGCGGTAAAAACGTTTAAGTCTACCATTTCTACCGATTCAATAGTACTTATGAACCTATTATGAATATGCCTGCATTGGTGCAAAGCAAGCGCTGCGCTTGCTTTTGGTCTACATTTAACCTTTACAAAGGGAGAAGTTACCCAACCTATCTCCTATTTACCTCAAGGTTCAAAATACTTAGGATGTCCTTAAAAGTACAATCGTGATTAAAATATGGACGAAACCCTTTATCCAAATTGATGCGATATTACTGCTGTGGATTTTTTGATCAACACAAATCAGTCCACCTAACCTGCGCTAGGTATTATAAAAAGTTAACAAGGAAAGTGGAAAAGAATTCTCAATTAGAACTGGAAATCTTCACTAAACATGTTCAAGGAGATGTCAGGTAAACCAGTGCTTTAAAGCACTTAAAGCAAAAGCTAACGAATTTCTCAGGATTATTTCAGAAGCCACAGCGTCTGGACCCGTGGGAAGGGGTGCGAAAGTGCAAGCGATTCGGGTATCGCTCGATACAGGACGATATGTTCTGGGATAAATTCGTCATCTCCACTCCGCAGAGCGAGGATTGCCTTTATTTGAATATATTTGCTCCTGCAATCGATCCATTTAAGGTAATAAACACTCTTACATAGGATACTCTTCCTTGGAACTAACTTCCATTGTAATAAGAAATACTGTGTTCATTTTGTAAAATGAATTAAGCAAGAAGATACCGACGCTTGAAAAGTACTAAAATTTTCTGTAAAATATTTTCAAAGGCTTGTTAGTGGCTTACGGGTCATTCAAAAATAAGGAGCAAGGAATCATATGAAAGAATTTTTCCCTGCGGAATGAATTATTTTGAGTGAGGGATTTTGCGCGACTTTTTGGCCATTTTCTAAGCTAAATTTTCAGAGTTATCCTGTGATGTTCTACATCCATGGAGGTGGCTTCATGATGGATTCTGCTGTGCGATTCAAACCTGAGAATGTGCCACGGTGCGTGATGGAACGATTTAAATAAAGATATCTTCTGAACTGTTCAGAAAGTGACGACGTCTTTCAGACTTCTGGTGCGCCATGGCGTCATCGTTGTTACCATTCAGTACCGGCTGGGATACCTCGGCTATTTTTGCACCGGTGACGATCTCGCGAAGGGAAATTACGGCCTTTGGGATCAACTTGAGGCAAAAATATGGATTAATAAAAATTATTCTGTGCAAAAAAACTCATAGCATAATCTTCAACTTGTTGTAGTTTTCAGTGGTGGAAAGAAGAAAACTCAAATTACTAAAGATAACTCAGCTAAATGTCATTTTACGTTTATCGTTTTATAAAATATTCAAATCAAAGGTGTATGATGTAAGGAATAATGTGATGTTTTTCTTCAATAAGCAGACACGAGGTTGTTATTACAGAATTTATTAGGATAGAATAGCCGACGCTTCGGCGGTTTCGCCTTCTTCAGAGCCTGGAAAGGTTAAATTGGGATGCGATCTACTCAGCCAAACACTTTCATAACCCTAGCAGATAAAACTTGACAAATCGATTTGCATTCGCATAAGAAACAGCTTCATTTAAACATCTACCGTTTATTTGTTGTGAGTATTTTAGTCAGTGGATAGTCGCCGCACAGAGTAATACATGGGCTGCTTAAGGCGGAAGACACAGTTATTAGTCGGTAAACCTAAATTAAAACCAAGCACTCCACTAGGCGCGCATAGGATGCAGGAACACAACGGAGAAGATTTTTATGAGCCACTATCCTCACGCAGGAATCGAAAACATCAGCGCGTAAAACTCTTGAAGCGTCTTGGATCAATGCCAAAAATTCAAAAATGAACCGCAAGGAGTGTCTTGTCATCACGCGTGACCTGGCGCCATACCTCAGGCTAATCCAATGACCTGACACAGGCACAGTCCTCGCCCATGTATTACTCTGTGCGGCTGCTATCCATCAACTAACTTAAATACTTACAATAAATAAACGGTAGGTGTTTAAATGAAGCTGTTTCTTATGCGAATGCAAATCGATTTGTCAAGTTTTATCTGCTGGGATTATGAAAGTGTTTGGCTGAGTAGATCACATCTCAATTTGACTTTTCCAGTCTCTGAAGAAGGCGAAACCGCCGAAACGTCGGCTATTCTATCCTAATAAATTCTGTAATAACAACCTCGTGTCTGCTTATTGAAGAAAAACGTTGAATTATCAATTAATGCCGAGGTTAACAGAAAGTCGGTCAAAGAAATTGTTATGTAAGCAATAATGCTTGGTAATAAAATATGGAAAAATCGAGATCGCTATGGGGTTCAGTTGCAGGCACTTCGATGGACCAAGGAGAATATCCACCATTTCGGTGGCGATCCTAACAGGATCACTGTAGCAGGCCAGAGTGCTGGCGCAGTTTCTGCCGACCTCCTGTCGATGTCTCCACTTTCACGAGGTTAATCATTTTTTTTTAAAACCTCCATTTCAAAGCTGGTCATTTCGAGAACAAGCGATTTTTCGCTGACTACAAAGAAGGTTGATCGCAACGAGTGAAACTCTGGAAATTATTAGGAATGTAGATGATTTGCAGATATGTTTCATCGAAAGATTCTTATGGGAGGTAGCACATTTTGTTATTGGGCAACGACTACTAAAGAAAAGGCAGCTGAGTATTGCCGACAAAAAGCCCTTAAACTCGGTTGGAAGCCCGCAAAAGGTGTTCTAAAAATTTGTTCTTGTTCTAGACTCACGTGATAATTAAGACTATTGCAGACTATAAATCTCGTAAAGAGGAGAGCAGAGATTTACTCGAATTCATGCGAAAGGTTCCAGCCAACAGGTACGGCTTTTATTTCGCTCTCATTCTGTCTCATCTTACTACCTTCAACACTTTTCCTTTATTCTCTTCCTTATTTCCTGCCTTCACCTAAAGTCTGTAAAGTCACTGGGCTTTATGTACACTCGTAGGAAAAAGCTCCTCACTAGATTTTTTTCATTTAATGTTATTAAAAGAGTGGCGAGTGGTTAGTGATGAGAATGATCAGCAAGCAGTGCGGCTGGTTAGACCCTTCCCAACGTTTTCTTCTAACCGACGTGGGAATACCATAGCTCGACTACCTCCAAGATTTCAAGGAGACTTGACCTAACTGACATTCTACGACATTCATAAAGAAGACATCATTCCCAAGTAGCAGCCGAAACAACATACAAAATGTTTGACGACCATTGTGAACGATCAATGTGAGTAAAAACGAAACGAATGCAGGAAGTGCCGAAATTCGCGCAGCAGAGGTGAAGACGTGTGATGTAAATTGTAAAATATAAAAAAGATTTCTGCCGACAGAACCTTGCGCGTATAGAATGAATATTTTTCTTCGAGATCACCGATGTGCTTTCGCTTTTCGATGATAAAATAGGTCCAATATTTTAGTAGTCCTTAACATCGTCCGTCTCAAATTCCTCGTAGTTCTTGGAAAATACAATTAATTCGTTGAAATGACAACATTGGATAGTAGGCGCTTAAAGTTTGTAACAGTTCTAATGTGCAGCACGATGCCTCTAAGAGACAACAAAGACACGAACCTTACATACCGATCCTATTCCTTGGCAAATACTGTATTTCAGTGTTTGACGAAATCGAAGCACACCCTGAATCCACCTGTGTTCTGAGACAAATTGAAAAGCCATTCTTATCCCTCCTTTAATTGTCTGTCCGCTATCTATTGAACTATGAAAAGAAGGCAAATACTAGCGGGGTTTCGACAGCCTATTTATAGACCTTAAAAAGGATTTCTTGCTTGTTCCACAGAAGATTTTTCAAAGATGAAACGCCGTTTCTTAGGCTAGGGATGCACATGATTGGCAATCAAGTTTTCTTCAACGAGGCTCGTCTTCCTCTTACGCCAGTGGTTGATGGGGAAATCCTCCCAAAACCAATTTCTCAGCTCCGAGCAGAAGCACCTCCAATGGAATCCATCAGCGGTGTTGGTCAAGAAGAGTCACTACTTTTCAGTAAGTGTTTACCTGTGTTGTCCTATTCTCGCATACTTATCATACTCTCTTACATCATTTGTGGTTCTGTGGGTGACAAAAACGCACTTGATGAGTTGTGTTAAAGGGTAACGTTGGAGATTTGTGAAGATTGCTGGAAACTAATGCGAAGCAGTACTTTCAACAACATTCTCAGAGGAAGCGGTTGTCCTCAGACATTGTAACTGTAATACCGAAACACTTTTTACATAATGTTTCTAGAAAATCCTCCTTTAAAGTTACTAAATCTAAACAGCTTTTGAAATTATGGAAGGACAATATTTAGACTGCAACACACTTCGGCCGAAATCAGTTGGTATTCCAATGTACAAGCAAAATGGCTGATCTTTCTTCTCTATCCGATTTTCAATTTACTTTCAGTTGCGCTAGGAGCCATCCGTGGTACCGAGAAAGACATGGAGAAAGTCATTCATGAACTAGCTCGAAAAACACCACTGAAAATCGCTGAAGTCAAGGAATTAGTCAATCGACTGTACGGTGACATCTCAGAATTACGAAAGGACAAGAAAGCAATGCAGAAAGCCTATGCCACTGTGAGATTACTACCTCAATGAATTACCAGTCGACTTTGATTGCACTAAAATTTATTGAAATATTAGTCGTATGAAATGCTGAGATATTTGCAAAACTCCAGACCACAGGTGTATGCAGTGGAGAACGAACACGCGCTGTTGTCCTTACGGATGGTGTAGCGGTGAAGTGCGCTGCTCCCCGGTAAGGACAACAGCGCCTTTTCGTTCTCCACTGCATACACGTGTGGTCCGGAGTTTTGCAAATGTCTCAGCATTTCATACGAGTTATAATTCGAAACATAACCTGCCATTAAGAAGAAAAAGGCAGTAAATAAAAGAGTTAAGATTGAAATATTAGTGTTAACGTAATGAAAGGGCTCAAAAATCATACAAGCCTAGGAAATCCTTCTTTTCTTGCCATCCTTTATGACGAAAAGCCGCCCCATCTCTTACCTAATCTGATCTCTGAACCATGGCGTATCGGTGCTTACGTGCTAGTTTCAGCAGATGGTCTTCCTAGCTTTAACTAAGCCTGTACTAGCACTTCTACCAATAAGTTCGTATCTATGAAATTATATTTTCATAAGAAAGCGCGCAGTCACTTTTCACAAAACTACATTTCAGCCCTCGATTTAACCCTTATAAGAGGATTTGAAGTGTTTTTTTTGAGTATCGTTTTCACTTTCAGTGCACCTCGGATATTTTCGCAAATTATGGCTGCTATCGCTACATGATGGACAGCCGACGACACGACAAACCGACCTTCGGCTATTATTTCGGTTACACAAGTCGGAATATGTGGGGTTGGTTAGCGACGAGGATTCCCTTCCTGGGTGAGAAAATAATCATTAATGAAACTTCTTGAAGACCTGTTCTCATTTTTTTCAGTAAGATGAGAGCTTCTCAACAATCTTTGTTTTTCGAACAGTCATATTCAATTTCGTATAAGTCTTCACAAAACATCTAGAAGGATTTTCTTCTTCGATTCAACCATTCTTAAATTGTGCCAACAGCGAGTAAATTCTAGCTGGAACGCACTCGTCCGAAATTATTTACTTGTTCGACTGCAACTATTTCGTAGCTCCGCTACCCATGACGGAAACTGATAGGAAGATCAGCAAACTGACCAGTCAATGCTTCATGGAGTTCGTAAAGAATGGGTGAGTCTGTGTGCTCATCACACAAACTAAAAAACCGAATTGGTTATGTCATTTTCTTTCCAATGTTTACTAAGGTATTCGTCGACTTAAAAATGACGTATATATTACGAAATGCATATAGGAATCCCAACGCACCAAGTCTACCCTTCAGTTGGGAACCAATCTCTAAAAATGGAGAGTTACGCTTGCTGAAGTTTTGCGAGCAGCCACTCATGATTGAAAAGGTTAGTATTCATGTAGAACACCCGCATGTAGGGGATGTGCAAAGAATGTGTATTGATCGCTCGCTTCATCAACGTCTTGAGAAGGGTTTACTAATGAGACAATCAGGTAGCCCTTTTTGCAGGTTTTCGATAGTCGCATGGAGAAGCTTGAAAGGGAACTGAAGAAATTCATTCCCAAAGATTGCTCCAACACTTGCTGAATACTTCTGGTGACACCATCTAGCTTCCTTTTTCTTACAAATGGAACACTACTGCATATCCACTCATAATTGCAGTTTCAAGTGACTAGCTCTTGAATTCCCAACCCTATTTTCTCCTCTACTGAATTATTTAATAGGCATATATATAACTATTAATATATAGAACTGTTGGCAATCAGTTTATTCCCGTTATTGCTCATTTATGCCCAAAGGCACTTTTACCCCAGTACCAGCAATCTTGTTTTATTGCATGGGTTGAAAATAGAATTAACGAATCGAAGAAAAACCTTCTGTCTACTTCTGACTCTACAACTCTTAGAACTTTTTAATTCGTTTTCATCTCTTGTAAGCAGATGATGATGGTTGTCTCCCGTACCTTAATTTAACAGTTGTATATTTGATCTCAATTGTTGTACGTTATGTTTGCAAAAAAGCTGTCAAATTTAACAAATAATAGTTGTCACCCTGTTATGTAAATTTGGCAATAAACCCTACGGCAGTCGGGAAGACTGACGTCAGTAGTGATAAAATATCAGTTGACAAACATATGACGCGACTTGCTGAAGTTCGGTACAAATGTTTAAGGAGCACGATTGCAGGCGGCACTATATCGAGGAATCCATGGTGAGCTCTAGAGGTGCCAATCCCACCTCATCTAGGACAATTAGATTTTCTGTTTGAGCAATTTATTGAATCACCACCAGCACGGATGACCACCGAGTGAATTTTGACAATACCAGCGAACACAGGCTTAATTTTTATTTAGTGCCTACTCAAATTCTTGACGGCAGGGTATTATCTGAAATCTAACCACAATGCTGCCGAGATATTAGCAAAGCTTGGATGCCGGACCAGATCGGGTCACGATTACCATTTTTACGGGGGTTCGCGTGTTACACATTGCATCACTGAGGCCTTTGCTCGGCGTTTCTCACAGCGAGTTTTCTACCTAACAGCGTCACCAGCAACCACTTGTCAACGGCATTGATCTGGATCGGGACTGTGACCGTGAAAGACTACAGTAGGCAGTAAATAAAAGGTTACCATTATGATTTCGACTACAGCTTTAGCTTAATTGGGTGCAATTCCGATTTTTGCTCCCTAGTCAATCCGGTTGACCGTTAACTGCTGACACCTCCGTTACGTAGAAAACTAGCTTAGAGAAAGGCCAATCAAGAGCCTGAGTGGTGTAGTGTGTAACACGCTAACCCCAGAAAAGAGTAGTCATGGTTCGATCTACCCAGGGGTCCACGTTTTACGAATATCTCAGCATCATTGTGTTCGCATTTCACGTAATACCAGTATTGTTGTTAGTTGCCACTTTATTCAATATGTTACTCAAAAAATGCTTTTCGTTCGACGAACTCTGGAGTGGGTAAAAGTTAGGAATTAACATTTGCTGTGGAAATAGTTTCCTTGGAAAAAATATTAGGAAGAAAACGAACAATTTCCGACTACCCACCTCTCTGTTTTTTCTAGTACGGTAAACCTGGAAACTTCTGTAGAAAATGGAAGTAGCAAATTTCACGTCGTTAGATCTCAATTAAGCATCTAATTGAAGGAATTCGGAGGGTATACCTTTTTATTTTCTGCCTACTATAATTTCGCGGCAGGGTACTAAGCGAAATACAACCACAACGTTGCTGAGATATTTGCAAAACTCTGGACCGCAGGTGTCTATGGTGGGGAACGAACGCGCTATTGTCCTTTCCGGGGAGTAACGCGTTCACCACCACATCATGCAGGGCCTTTGTTTCGCCTGTCTCTCAGCTATTTCTATCGATCAATCCCACTGACGGGTGATTGCTGCGGCAAAGATCGATAGAAATAGCTGAGAGACAGGCGAAACAAAGGACCTGCATGGTGTGGTGGTGAAGGCGTTACTCCCTGGAAAGGACAATAGCACGTTCGTTCCCCACCATAGACACCTGCGGTCCAGAGTTTTGCAAATATCTCAGCAACATTGTCGTTGGAATTCGGAGGGTTAGCCTACGCAGAGAACAGAGTGAATGACGTTGCATTAGTGCTGGTGAAGGACAAATTTACGCGAACTAGACCCAGCATGTGATTGAATGACATTCTCCGAGCAAGAGTCCAACAAATAAGGCAGCACTCATTATCGTGATTATCACGACCGACTTTCTATTAACCTCGGCATTGATCAGTCAGTTATCGATATTCTTGTCAAGCAAACACAAGGTGTTACTTTATTCTTTATTCCGTTAAAGCAGACGTTTCGGCAGTATTGCACTCTTCAGAGCACGGAGGAGTGTATTGTTGGGCAATTTACTACGGTAAACGCTTAAATAACATGTACAGAAAAATGAAAATCTATTTCGGCTCTTCAGACCTCAGAGCTCTAACTTGTCTCATTCCTCTGCCATTACTTCTCTATAGTTACTATCATGTTATTATAGTTGCATTTATGTATATAAAGGTTTAATTACCCAAGTTTTAGGTATTGCCTTGTGACTACTACGAAAAGTCCCGCGTGGCATTTATTCACGAAGTCGAGCATTCTGCTAAAAGCTAGTGATTACTCGGTGCCGAGAACTGACTCGAAGGCCTATTTTCGACTAGCAACTACAAAATTACCAGTCTCGTGTAAGCCCAACCTTATACCAAAATGTTAAAAGTTATGTCACCAATCCTTAGGTGAGAGGTAGTACACACTTCTTCTAAATGCAATCGTCGTAAAAAAGACAATAATGTGAGAAACTACGATGACTCTATTTGACAGTTGACAATCTTAAAGGGAATTTTAGCTTGTTGTAAAAACACTTCAAACTTTGCCTGTTCCAACGTAAGATCCTTCTTTTACTGCGCACTTTGTTACTTTGTTACAAGGTTACTTTGTAGTTTCGTGGTGATGAGTAGAGCCTTGAAATTTAAAAGATCCGGCGACAAACCGCTGCAACGACGACAGCCACTTGAAGACATTTGAATGAATTAATTCTACAATATGCTAGAGCTCACAAAAAACATTATGTAAATATTAGCCTTTTTAGGAATTAATCTCGTATTTTAAACATAGAAGATGATGGTTTTAGAGGAGGTTCTTTTGATTTTAACGACAATGATTTGAAGATTTGAGGGCTTAAAACACCACAGCTTGTTGAATCCTAATGAAACGATTATATAGGAGAAGTACGTCCAGAGTTCGACGAAATGTACCAAAAACTGCGTCCCGAATAAGTACAAAAAAGAGACCAATCATGCACAACAACGCGCCCCGAATCTTCGTATAACCGACACTGCAAGGTCTCAACGAACTGAGCTACGCTCTAACACGCCGAATTTCACTCCTTCAAGCACCTCCACAACTTCCTGTGCGAGGTATGCTTCAGAGAAAAAGCTGAGGCATAAGCTGCCTTCAGCAACCTTCTCGTCCCCAGAAATCAAAGACTGCTTTCAACTGATTTATATATACATGTTTCTCGGTGCCAAAAATCTAGAAGTTCCGGTTTTCTTTGTATTGAATACTGAAGTCTACTTTGGGTTTAGATATGCCGCTTTAAAAATAGAAGCCGAAATCCGACATTATTTTCCCAAAGACTTAATAAAATAACAATTTCAGCACACTTCAATAGAACTGAAAGGAAGTAAATAGACCGAGAAGGACTACTGCTTGATTCTGGTTTGAAACCATCAATTATCTTTCAACTTAAATTTGAATAAGCAAAAAGTACCATTTTATACTTGCTTATTAAAACTCATAAGTTAGCATCCAGTAATAAACTTACACCTACCTATCCATCGTTATTTAAAGTTAGACCTAGGCTAGTTATGTAGATGGACCAACAGATAGAGTAACAAGATTTTTAACTCTAATACTTACCCTGTCTCTATCACATTCCAGTCCATCTTGCGCTCACCAAGATGTTGCTGGATAGTCTACGTAACGCGCATCCCGACAGCGCTTACGTGATGGAGTCCTTCGACGTTACCGCCCTTAATACAAACGTGTCGAAAATCTCCAGTATACAAGCCTTTCCAGCACTGTATGGATAATTGGTTTATCGTTCACTCCACACAGGAAAAGATGGAGAAAGGTTTTGAGTTAATGAATGAACAATCGGAGTGCATTAAGCTTACTCGAGCGAAAGCAAAAGAAAACTGGCTTTTAATTCTAGACGTTAGATTAAGCTGTTCGAAAATAACAAAATCACGAAAGGATACGGAAAGCCAAATGGTAAAGTCATACTGGTTTGTTATCTCTCCTCTCACCGCTCACACACAAAAACGGCGTTTCGAAGAAAGATGCTTCGAACAGTGACGTGTGTGTGCACAGGACGAAGGCAAAACGGAGAATCACTGAAATTGGCCCTGCAAATAGTCATTTCCAATTGCTGGGAAACTGTAGCTCGGAGGAATATGTGTGGAGAAAAACCCAGGCTTCCAATGATGATTCTAGCGATAATATGGTTTCGTTTTTACTGTCCTTATCTCAAGCCAAATAACTGTAGCCACAAAGCGTTGCTTAAGAAAGGGCAGTCCAGAGATCTCAATAAAATGATTAAAATACGACGGAGCAACCTAAGACGCCAACTGGTTCGCAGTCCTCTTTATGACCATCTGCGTACAAAGTAACACTGCGTAATTTGTCACAATGGAGAAGTTGGTGATTGCATGAATTCGGATATCGGGTACCTGATTTCTTGTAAAAGCATGCAGGACGAGTACATTGTCGAAACCGGTAGACCACTTTGAGTCCAAATAAAATACACCTTGTTAGTAAACTTAAAGTTACATCAAGTACTTATCGACTCACACACTGGACGCAAAAACATAACGAAAATTTTAATAAAAATGGTAGGAAGAATTTTGCGAAGCTCCGAACCGCAGGTCTCAGCGCCAAGTATTGAACATCCCTATTATCCTTTCTGAGCTCTAACGTGCTCACCACCAATCCATGTTGTCCTTCACTTCGCATTTCTGGCAACCGTGTTTTACACGTGCCATCAGCATTCACCCGTCAACGGAATTGATCTGTGGAGCAC